GTGTAGCTATTGCTTATATAGATGAATGCAGTCAAAATGGATTTCTGAAAATCTATTTGGCAAAATAATTCACCACAGATCAAGAACTTAGATAAAGAAAACAACTTCTGACAACACTTTGCTTTTGAAAAAAGACAAATGATTATTAAATAAGAGAAAAAAAATCTGCTTATAGCCTCATCACTGTAGTCACCCAATAAGATGAGAGGAGGGTACCTGCCTGCATTTTTCGGGGAGATCTGTGATTCTCCTCCATGCCCTCAGGCAGCTCTGGCTTCCTTGTAGCTGCACCGGTGTTAAACCTGCTCTGAAAACAAAGTGGAGGTGTGGAATGGAGACCCCACAGACTGGGCAGGTCATGCTTGTAACCAGAGCACCATGATGTCTCTTTGCTTCTGTACTCATTGATGGTGAGAAGCAGATCAAGTTTGAGAAGAGAGGAGAAGGGGGAGGAAGAGGAGGAGGAGGTAGAGAAAATACACAGAGAAGCTGCAAGAGTGACCTGACCTTGGGCAAGAAAGGTGCTTTGCAAAGGGAACACTACCTGTCTGTTGGGTTTGGTGGCGGAGGTTTTGGGCAAAAACTGGGTCTTCACATGCAGAAAATCTGTGATGGCAGAGACTGACCCAGCTCAGTGAGGGAAAGCACAATGACTTTGTGAAGTCAGAAGCTCATGTAGGAAAATAATTCAGACTGAAAATATGATAAAAAATGCTAGTGGTGAAGATACATAATCTTTGGAAGAACTTAGCAGGAGATGCCACTGGTCTCCTTCATGGGAATCTTCAAAGCCAGAATTTTTGGAAAGAATGGGCTCCAATCAAAGCATGAAGCAGTCAGTGTGAAGTGACACTTGCTTTACAGGGGCCAGGCTGGAGGGCTGCAACTCTTGTTCCAGCTGTAAAAGTTGTTGCTGCTTCTAAAAGGCTCTGATTCCCTATGAATGTGCCCTCCAATACCCCAAGATGACAGCTGTAGGTGCTTAGGGAATGCTGGGAGAATGGACAGCAGGCGGTGATCCCTGTCCACAGGTCAATCCAAAACCTCCTGTAGCCACTGCAGGGGACAGGGTGCTGGGCTGGAGGGGTCATTGCACTGGGCTAGTGAGACTTTTGGGATGTTCTTGCCTAAAAGACAACACAGGAAAATTATAACAGTGCAAAAACCTCTCCTCGAAACCTGCTGTGAGAGCCAGGAGAGCACATGAAGCTCTCTACATTGCTTGGATCCAAAGGATGCAGAAAACTGCCTGATGTCCCAGCCAGGTGGCAGGTCAGACTGGCCTGGTTCCTTCCTCAGAGAAACACAAAGCATGGAGCCAGAGGATGTCCTGCATCAGCCAGCCTTGCCAGAAATCCTACCAGCACTCAGAAACATGGGCAGGCTCGTGAGGGGCCTGAATGGACACTCGTGATACCCCCAAGCAGCATCTGCCCTCCTGTTTTTGGGATAAAGACTAGTGCTGGTAATGTGGCAGGTTAGGTTTCCCCTATGACTGTTGGAGAGAGAAAGCAGCATGTAGGAAAGTGACTCCCAAAAGTGCCCAGTCAAAAAAACAAACAAATCTAGTTGAAACCCAAAATCTCATGCTGGGTTTGGACAGAGCAACCCATCTCCCAGGCTATCATCCTGCCAAGTCACACAGTGACTGGACACCTGAGGTTTCCCAGGAGGATTCTCCTTTCACCTTGGCAGCTCAGACTGAAAAACTGGACAGCTATTGCTGCTGTGGTTGATTTTTGTGTCGGGCTGATCCTATTACCATGCAAACCTGACGTAGCTGCAGCAGCAGCTCAGTGGTTAGAGCATTATAATCCCGTGCATGTTACAGTGATGCCACTTGAGCTGCTAATTTGGGAAAATCTGGATCCTAATGGAGGTTTATCTTCATGGACTTCTGCCACTTCCCACTTGTCTGCTACAGAATTAACCATCTTGGAGGTAACAGCTGCAGTCACCAGAAATTTGAAAGCAGCAGTGAAATGGGGGTCACCAAGCGCCCCTTGCACGTGAACTCATTTCCCCTCTCTCTGGCTGCATCCATACAGCTAAATAATGACATTAAGGACCAGCTCCATGGTGTGAGGCCAGGTGGATCAGAAGACCTTGGATTCACAAGCCTGGGTGAGACCACCATGAGCTCAAATTAATGGAGTTATGCTGGTCCAGAGCCTCTGTATGTGAAAGCAGAAGAAAGAACTGGATCCACACCCACATGCCAGATGATGCTGTTGATCCTTTGTTTGCAAGAGAAGTTGCATGCACAGCCAGTTGCTGTGTCTTGGTGGGTGCAGGGTCCCTCATCAAGCAGGTGCTAAAAGTCCTGTATTGAAATGCAGTAAGCAGGTGCTGTGTGGGGGTGTCTGGACAAAATATGGGCAGTAAAATATTTTCCGGATGTGCATGTAAGCTCATGCACTGAGCACAAGTTACCTTCAGATGCACTGAATGCTCATTTTCATCCTTCCCCACAAATTGGTGGCAGACAGATGTTCCTCAGAAGGTCACACATAGCAAGTGCGACAGGCACAGCTGCACACAGGGATCTGGGCACTGCAGAGGTCCCTCACCCATCCTTGAATGTAGTCTTCTTTTTGGAGAACAACAACCCTTTTTGTATACCAGCCCAGAGGTACAAACACATTTTCAGGCTGAAGATGATTCTATGTGCCCGTGGGATCAGGGATACCTCTCTTTCCAACCCTGGAAGGTAGCTGGGTCTCAAAGGGAGTGGATCACAGAATTCCCAGAGCCCTGAGGTTAGCAGGACTGCAGGGATGGGGGGGTCCATCTCTGCTGCCCATGGATATGGTGGTGCTCCCCAAGCCTAGGCATTTAGTCAATAGTCAAACATAAATGATCTCCAGGGATTCAGGTGGCAATAAGCAGTGTAAATAGCAAGGACCTTTAGCTCATTTATGGCTTTGATGGCAGAATACTTGCACTGGTAACCTGCAGACTGAAATTTCCTGGTATCAAGATTTGTGCAGCTACTAACTACAAATCAAGAAAAAACAAATAATAACTTGCTGGAGGCTCACAGTTACTTTGGGAACAGAGAGAGAAAGAATACATTTAAGCAAATCGATTCACTCACTTGTCCTCAAGTCTGTCTGAAAATATTCTCAAAGTGTCACTCAGCACTGCAAAAATTATCTCTTGTTCTCATTACAACCAAATGCTAGGAGCTGAGGGATGCATATTCCTCCCATCCTTAATGTTTTTTTGGGGGTTGTGTAATCAGCTGTTCCAGCATTCAGAATTTTCTCTTATTTATCTACTCAGATATTTTTCTCCTTTTTTTCCTTTTTTTCTTTTTTTTCTTTTTTTTTTTTCTTCATGCACAGCCTCTCTGCAGTCTGGCAGAGGCAGGATTGCAGTATTGATTTAGGAAGAGGCAGTTGTGACAATACAGTCCCAGGCTAATTCCCGTGCTGTACGGGGGCTGCTGTGTCCGCAGCAGCAGCCTCACCCCCAGCATGGGGCTCACTTTTAAAAAGAAGAAAAAAAAAATGAAAGAAAAGCTACTTTCCTCTGTTCTGCTTTGAAGGGGAAAAGGATTACCAAGGCTAAATAAGCTATCTGAGTACTTAGCTAGCAAGCCTAAATAGTACCCTGATAGGAAGTTCTGGCAGAGAGCTAATTAAATTAACTCTCTTTGATTTATTAACAAGCAGAGCAACATATCACACAGGATTGTCCCATGAAATTAATGTGCTTTCTGATTCCCTTAGCTGCTTCAGCTCAGTCACCTCCCAGAAAACCCGGTTACGGGGACTCAAGTTTAATGAGACTCAATGGCTCGAGAAGGATCCCTGCCCACCAACAGAGATACGCACTGGTAATAATACCTAAAAGCATGTTTATTTTCGTTGCACTTCCCTAATTCCTTTTTAATGCCTAGGACCATCTAATGGCTAATTCGTAATTTCCTGCTCACTGATATGCAGATGAATGACAAGGAAAAGCCTTCTGCATGTTTAATTATTCTGTTGATTTAAAAGCCACTTTTCCCTCAGTGCAAGTTTCTCTGTGTGTGTGTGCTCTCATGCATCACATATTTCATTATTTTTAGAAGCATGCTCTGTGCCTTTTTATGCTCCCATAGTTCCAGCATCCAGTAATTACCATGTTTTGTGTCCAACAGACCTGATCCACCAGCAAGTGTAAACCAGGAAAACATTGCTGTCTCTAAATGGAGTTATTCCAAGTTACACCAGACCTGAGACCTGACCTCTCCTATTTTCAATGGTGGAGAAAATGTTATTTGTGTGCTGGGACTCTTGTGAAGTAGCGGGATATAAAATTTAGAAAACTTCAGAGCAGTGAAATTCCAAATTGAAGCCTGTGAATGCACAGACAGTAAGAATCTATTTATGTAGCAAGCTCTACTTCTGTTTAACCCCTGCAAGGAGCTGTAACTCTCTTTGCATATTTGATTTTTCTCCCTCAGTAAAACATAGTCTGCTTAACCTATTTTTGCTACTTTCCAACAGTTTCACTGGGGGGTTCTTTCCTACGCCTTACATTTAGCTTTGCTATCTGAGCATTCCTTTGTTAAATTAAGGCAATTAATAAATGGAGATGTTAAGCAATCAATTTTGCCTGTATATCTCCACAGCCTTACGTATGACTGGCTGTAATCACAAGATAAATGCAATGTGCTGATGTATGGTAATGTTCAATAATACATTCTCCACCAGGCTCAATTCATCAGGGAGTTTCTGGAGGGGAGGCATTTGTTATTGGCTGTCTCCGGACCTCAAGGATAACATTCCTGTCCTTTCCATTGGCCGCCCCGCTGCTGCAAGCCTCTTCCCGTCTTATTTTGATGATGAATATGAAGGCATGCTAAGCTGTGCCGGAGAGCAGCTCTCGCCGACTACACTCCCGCCCCGGGCTCAAGGACTCCAGAGCTCCCCGGCTGCTTCCCCTGCCCACTGCCAGCAGCAGCAGCAGCAGCAGCAGCCGCAGCAGCAGCAGCAACGCCAAAAGTTGTGATGCTTTTCTTCACCCAGTGCTTTGGGGCTGTGTTAGATCTTATTCACCTGCGGTTTCAGCACTACAAGGCAAAGAGGGTTTTCTCAGCTGCCGGGCAACTTGTCTGCGTCGTCAACCCAACACACAGCCTCAAGGTGAGTTAAAAATATATTTTCTCTTCTGATATCTCCTCGCCGTCCCCACCACCGCCACCCGTGATTCTCCACAGGGAATGAAATTATGCTCTGGCAGCAAGGGGAGAGTGCTGTTAACACACTGCAGCCCTGGCAGAGAGGATGTTTGCATTGTCTGAATGCATGATTCCCTTTGGAGCAAAGGAGAAGCATCCCACTGCTCCGAGCGACCGTGGGAAGTCGCGGCTCCCCCTCCCCAAAGTTTCCTCATCCATTTCGCCCACACGATGAGCGTGCATGTTGCAAGCGTTTAGTAAAAATGATCGGAAAAGTTAGTTGGATGAATAAAGATCCCTTTCTAGTCGAAGGATGCTGTGTGGTCTCCCAGGCTGACACCCCAGCGCAGAGGGATGCTGCCAGGCAGGGGAGAACAGGAAGAGGGGGTGGCAGTAGAGGGATCTCCTCTGCCGTCGTTTGCTCTTTCAGGGGAAAAGCGGCTCTTTCTGTCTCCTGGGGGGGACTTGGAGGCATTCCTCTGGCACGGAAGCTGTCCTTAAGCTGTTTGCAAGGTGAATCTATTTTAGGAAGGAGAATACATTTGCTTCAACGCAAAACTATTTATAGTCCCCATAAAAACATTTATTTTACTTGCACAGTTACCAATTTTCACTGACAAAGTGTCAACAACTCCATCTACACCAGAGCCTTCATGTTTGTAGCAGAGAAGGAGCAGCAGGGGGAGAAAGCAATCAGGAGGCTTTAATTACTTTATCACACTAGTGAATGACCAACTTTAATGAAGTGGCTTCTGTTTTGTGAGAAGTCCTTGCTGACCTGACTCGTGAGGTAGCTCCGCCTTCCTGGTGCAAGCTTAGAAATTAATTTAATTCAGGACAACTTATTTTTGGCTCTGCAAGGGTCCCTGTGAGGTACTTGGAGGGGTTGCAGGAAGCATCTTTCCCGAGCTCCTGGTCCCTGGGACGTCCATTGATGAGGTAAATCCCTCTTCAGAATAGCATCACCTCACAAAAAAAAAAAAAAAAAAAAAAAAAAAAGAAAAGAAAAGGCAGAAGGAGATTGTTTCTAGCAGGGTGCCGGCTCCGGGAGGATGTTCCCGCAAGACTGTGCTCTGAGCGCTGCCGGCTGGGGCAGGCGCTCCCCGGGGCTGAAGCGCTTGGGTGCAGGCTCGCCTTTCCCGGCACCACGCTCCTGACGAGATAAGTTAAAAACACACAGCCCTGTCATTATCTGAAAGCGTCTGGTTGTCTGAATGGGTGAAAGAAATAGCTGCATTCCTAAGTGCACGGGGAGATTTTGTCAGTGAATTCTTCTGTGCTCAACCCTTTTATGTGACTGTCTCCTGCTACTTTCATCTATAATTTTAATTACAAAAAAAAAAAAAAAACAAAAAAAAAAAACCAAAAAACAAAAAAGGCTGTCAACGCACAACAGGTCCCAACACAATTTCAGTGCCAGTGGCCTTGTCTGATAAGGTCCCATAAGCACACAGGGGGGTGACTATTGCTCCGCTGTTACCTAAGAGTAGACCCACGTTTATCATTTCAGGTCCTGCTGACTTGCAGGTTTGCTATGGTAGGAGCTGCAGCTGTGTTAAACATATAGGGCACTTCATTTTACTAAAATTCCCCGTGGCCAAGCTCTTCCCTGCTCAGATCAAAAGCCGTGCAGAACGATGAACAATCTCAGTCCTGCTGAGGCAGCATTTGAATGCAGGCATTGGAAGCAAATTCTCTTGGAAATGAACAGGACCCTCTAGGAAAAGGTCTGGTGTGTCAGTGAAGCCCCAGCAAGACTTGTCTTGACCAGGATGGGAATTGCTCCCCTGATACGGCTGCATTGGGAACCCAAAGGCACAGGTGTCCCCACAGGAGGCTGTTAGACACCATTCAGATGAACAAGCTGATGAGAAACCCTCTGCTCTGACAAACCCCTCTGACTGTGAAAAGTGCTGTGCAAGTGCTCCAGGTTACCCAGGTCACAACCGGCCACATAAATAGGGTGAGCTTTAGCCCTGATGTGCTCCCCATGTGTTCAGCTTCCTTCCAGCTGTGTAAGGAATGCATCACCACTTTGTGGCAGCATCCAGAGGAGATGGGGATCAGGTCCCTTTGTGCCCAGCATGACAAAATCAGTTGATCACTCACAGCAGCCTGTGGGCCAACTGGAGCCTGCTGGCTCCAGACAAGCAAGGCACCTTGTCCAAAACCTGGTGCCAGAGTGAAACCAGGTGAACCTGCTTTTCAGGGTGCCCATTTCTCCCCCAGGGATGCACAGGGTGGCTGTTGTTGCTCTCAAAAGACATCTAAGGGACCATGAAATATGAAAGGGCCAAATTTATCCCTTTGTGGTGGTTTACAGTATTATGACTACTTTGATGTTTCTTAGTCTATTATTTCTAGCTGGGTCCTTTCAACTGTAACATTTTGTTGACAGCCCCCAAATCTATCTGAACAATTGACAAGTGGAGTGAAAACTGTATTAAGGTTCGCGGTCGATGAATACAAACCTGCTAGGAAACAAGGGCTGGGAGCAATGTCATTTCTCTCCCTTTTCTTCGAGGCTTAAATGATTGTGCTTACTCCAAAATCGTAAGCCCTTTGCAAAGGGATTTCTTTATTCTGTATCTCCCCAGTGCTGGTGCAAGGGGACTCCTGGCTGATTGGTGCAAATGATAAATGACAGGCATCACACTCTGGTGTGATTATGCACATTGACATCCTTCACACAGGCCAGGTCTTCAATCAGTGCCAACACACATAACTTCATTAAAGTCAATTGCTGCAGGACCTCCATTTTCACCCCTTCTGCCCAAAGGAGTGCTCAGGGATGTAGTGGGACTCAGCCCAAACAGGAGGATCTGTGGCTGGAGATCACGTATGTGTCAGAGATGTGGCATTGTGGAAAGCACTCAGTGAGCAGCAGGGGAGACCTGGTGCCCTCCAGGGAAGGTTGGGATGGCTTCTGCTGTCACAGACCTGCAGCCAGACCAAAGGGGCATTCCTCTAAAGTTATGCCAGAATCCTGTCATCATCATCACAGCCTGGACCTCTGACAATGACCAGAGCCTGTCACTTCTGCTTTTAGGAGAGAACCAGAGATTGGTAGAGAAGCACAGACTTAGAGAGAAACCCATATATTTCTTCCCACTGAAAGGCTCATTAATTGGGAAGGCTGATGAACATTTTTGTGTTTCTTAAAGGGCAAGTGTCAGCACAGACACCTCTATTGATCTGCTGCTATTTTCCCTGCACTCAACAGGCTAACATAGGTGACTCTAAGAAAGAAAGATAATTTTGCAACTGTCCCCCACTGTTTTGTCCATTTGTCAGGAGTATGAATGGGAGGGGGTGTTTGTTTCGGAGCCTTTGTCCTTTTGCCACTTTCTGCTCTTTGTCCTCTTACAAAGCTTCCCCAGATATAGCAGCGTCTCACAGCACAGTGCTATGCTGGGATCAAAATTCACTTGCCAAGCAGAGAAAAGCACTTACTTACCACACTTCTATAGGTCACCTTCGTCCTCAATCATATTATATCCATTACTTTGTAACCTGTCTTCTTTCAAGCATGTGGTCAACCTGAAATCTTCCCTTGGGGAGGCACAGCTGGGCAACAAAGCTCTCTAGCCAAGAGGCTGCTCCCTCCAAAGCCATAGCAGTTAAAGGAGCAACACTTCCCTGCTGCTGGCTGCAAGTCCCAGCATGCAGGGAAAGTTTGAAGGTCCTCCAATTGCATGGAAGAAATGGGCAGGGTTTTCTAATACTTCAGAGGTGAGGCTCAGTGAATTTCTGTCCATTTTCCCCTCATCAATAACAATTCTCCCCAGAACTGCAAACTGGAAAGAAGGGAAGTTTGGGAGTATCCTCACTCCTTAGCATCAGTCCCTGTCCTGATAGCCAGCCTCACATGGCAGGGGTCAGCAGTGCAAACACATTCCAGACAGGTGCTGATGCTTCATGAGATGCTGCATATGGCTGAGTAAAAAAGATCTTCTTAATTCAAGGAGTTATTAGCTGTTTTACACGCAATTTTTAATTATTTGGGGAGTGTGAAAACTGTTCTTTTAAATAATAAAAAAGTGTGGTTTTGGTGTAAAAAACACCAATCTCCACCTCTGTAGGACTTCAAGAAACTTGTTGATTTACAAAAAAAAATCCAAACAAGGTCATAAAATAGTTCAATCTTAATATTCTAAAAGGGTTGTAACATGGTTTATGGGTCCAAGCTGTCTTTCAGCTAGTTTTTAAAGCAACAAGCAAATCTGCTCTGACTTAGGGATTTGAATCCTGTTATAACAGTTTGGCTCTGCCAGTGGCCAGTCAAATAGCATTGTAATCCACTTTATCCCCAGGAGGATTAAAGTGCTAGGGTGCATTACACCCTCATGAGATCTATTTATTTGGTACAAGGGAGGAGAGCGACTGTGAAACCTGCTGCTAACAATGCCCACATGCCACTGTCTCAGCCCAGACAACCTCAAATCTCCCATGCAGGGCTGTGATTTGGGGACAAAGTGGCATTTGGCCCCATTGTCCAGCAGGATTGTGACAGCTGCGGTGCGAGGATCTGTAAAATGCTCTGCTACCTGCAGACCTGGGCTCCTGGCAAGGTGCCTGTTTCCCACCCCAGCTGTGGGCTAGGGCTGTGTGAGCACTGGGCACCTCAGATTTTAAATCCTTTTCTAGGGATGTGGATAGCAGCAGGCAGGGCTTTGTCAGCCCTGCCTCTGTTTGAAGGCATTCCAGTTGACCCTGATCAGCCCAGGAGGCTCGGTCTGTTCTGAGATGTGACTTCAAGGGTGCCCTGCAGACAGGAGGCACAGCAAGCTCAGGCAGGCAGCTCTCCCTGGGGGCTCTCCATTCACTGCTGCTTGCTGGCCCCAGAACCCCTCTCTCCTGAAGCCATTAACCTTTAGCCTGCAGATCCATCCACCTGCGCCGCCGTGGGCCGCGGCAAAGGGCAGCACGGGATGCGCTACAAGCGCGCTGCAAAGCGGGACAGCT